TGGTAACTGATTTCTCCCCTTCTGTCAGGTCTGTTACCTCAGAAAATGGAGCAAGAACTGCACTCAGTTCCTTCAGCTGGTTCCACTCACGGGCACTAAACACCAACTCCTCGTGATCCTTGCTGCACATTTCATTCAGGGCTTTGTGGTCCAGAGCTGTGAAGGCCTGTACTTGTTTAAATATACTGTTCCATCGAGTTGTGTTTGCAGCTGGAATGGTCCTATTAGTGCCAAACGTAGCCTCAAACTTGTCTTTGAATTGTGAACTGCTATGCAATAAGGTGGTGAACCGTGATGTTTTGGCTATTGTGTGAGAAATGGCCTTGACCTCCTTCATGCCGTCATTCACAACTAATTGCAGAGAGTGTGCAAAGCAGGAAAGACGTGCACCAGATGACCAGGGTAATTCGGTGTCTTCCTGAGAATTAATGTCCTCCCACAGGTGCTCGTCATCTAAATGCTCCTCTTCACTCTCGCTGTCATCAGATTGGGGCATGTGTACTTTGAAAGCACATTTCATATTGGCAGCATTGTCTGTTATGATATAGCTAATTTTGTCATGGATACCGTATTCCTCTGTGATCTCCTCAAAGGCAGACGCAATGTGCTCTCCAGTATGTCTGCCTGTGAAACGCCTACAGTCCAGCAGGTAGGATTCAAGTGCATAGGAATCCTTTGATTTGTAGCACACGTGGGCGGTCACCCCAAGGAAGGAGCGTAGCCTGCGATCAGACCAGAGGTCAGTTGTTAATGACACAGATGACTGGGTCTTCAGTTTCTCCAAAACAGTTTCCTTGACCTTGATTACCAACTCTGGAATTTGTCTATCAGAAACCGTTTTTCTAGAGATTGGTGTGTATTTACTATCCATAACTTCAAGAAAGTGTTTAAAATGACTGTTTTCCACAAGTGAGAGAGGCAGACAACACCCAATGATCAAATCTTGGACAATGGCTTGACTGATGGCTTGTTGCCTTGGTGATTGTGGGCTGTAGAGCTGCACTTTCTGCGTAAATAATGAAATTGATGGCTGTGTGACTGTGACATCATTCTGTTGCCCTGCCTTGTATTCCAGGAACCTAAAAAATGCAAAGGAGGAATCAGTATATCTGGTCATGAACATCAATTACATCAAAAGAACACTTAAAAATAAGTAGCAACTTCATAAATGTATGTCAAATATATCCTCCATTGTTTATCATAAGCAAAAATTAAACTTAGAAAAATCTAACAAAGTTAAATTGGGTCCTCTGGATGGGTTTAAACAATAAAAAATTATACAAATGTTTTGTCTTTCATCCAAAAGACTTCTTCAATATGAGGAGCTATATTAAACTCAAGAGCTACATTTTCAGGCCAAGACTCTGCGGTTTACACTCATCTCCAGACCAGCGGTCACTCTTTCAGGGATGAAGATGTTCACATCCTTGATAGAGAGGAACGATGGTTTGAGAGAGGAGTAAAGGAGGCCATCTTTGTGAAAAGAAACCATCCATCTTTAAACAGAGGTGGAGGCCTCCGGGTTCAACTGTCCCCCTCTTACAATGCTGTTATTGCTAGTATCACTCAGCCCCCGGTGAAGGCAAGCAGCCATCAGGGTACTAACAATCCATCATTAGGCTGATGGTCCTCCTTGAACATGTGAGCAGCTAGTTTCATCAACAACAAACGGTTGGTCCACTGTGAGGAGGCACTATTTATAGGGCTGAGCTGAATGCAGCTCCTCAGCCTGAGGAAGTCTTTCGGACGAAAGACGAAATGTTTCTACCTTTTATTTTTACTTTTTTAACACACCCAGAGGACCTGATTTAACTTTTTAAGATTTTTCTACCTGTGTGATTGAGCATGCATCAGGACATATTAAACACAGTTAGCATCTTCTCACAGTGGATCAACCAGTTTGCCAAATATGCTAAGGGAGACCATCAGCCTAACAATGAATCGTTGGCACCCTGATGGTTGCTTGCTATTCACAGGGGGCTGAGTGATACTAGCAATATCAGCGATGTAAGAAGAAGACAGTCCCTCTTACAATGAAGTCTTTTGTTAAGAAGTCAAGTAGTCTTTTGGATGAAAGATGAAACGTTTCTACATTTTGTTACCACAAGCCCTGTCCCCTCAGTCTCTCAAAGTTAACAGTGAATTTGTCCTTATGCATGCTCAATAACCCAGGTAGAAAAATTTAAAAAAGTTAAATCAGGTCCTCTGGGAGTGTTAAAAGAAAAAAAAGGTAGAAAAAAGCTGTGCAGATAATATTCTACTTTTTTTCTTTTAACACACACTCAGAGGACCTGATTTAACTGTATGTAAACAGTGAATTTGCTTACTTCCCTTAATATGTTAATTATATCAGTGTTATAAAGTAAAACTCATTTAAGGGCTAAACAAAGCGGGTCTGAGTCTGACACACATGAATTAATTTAGATGTATTTAGATTTAATGTCGATGAATTACTTTTTCAAATTTTTGTCCCTTATTTTAGTATTTGTGATGCATGCTTTGGTATTTGTTGTTGTTATTTTTTTGTTTGTTTTTGGCGAGTCAAGACTGTTTTTCTCGTCCTAAGCAATTCACTGCATTGTTGTCGACCTTGTGTTGATTTTGCATATGACAAATAAACCATACTTGATAAAACGTTCTGTTTGTATTGTTCTTGGAAGAGAGGCAGATTGATAACGTTAACTAGCTAGCTTTACTAGCATCACTTACACAAAGCTGCGGCGCTTACCTTTCTTTGTGCTTCCTTTCCAGGTGTCGATAAAAGTTGGATGTAGTCCCGACAGTCTCCGAAAGTGAAGCGCTGCAGAACTTGCATTGCGCCGTGTGTTTTTTTTTCAGAGTTGTTTTGCAAACATACTCTTTGTGACTCAAATAGCCAAACTTTATAACAGCAGATTTAGAAGACATCTTCTCTTGTTCTAAACACAAACAAGTCTAACTTTTCTTCCCTGACGCTTGCGAGTGAAAGGAGGTGGGCTCGGTGTTGCCAGATAGAGTCGAGATTTTCCAGCAAAAAATCGGTTAAAAACCGCAACATCACACAAAAACCTGCACAATCTATATTTGTTACAGTATATTTACTTTTTGAACACAAACCCACATCAGTACAAGCCAAGGTAATTTAACAATATGTGGCAAAACGGAACAGTCCAACAAAAATCTTCCCAGAGTTCCCAGCAAAATCAGAACGAAAACTGGCCAATTGGCAGTAAACCACCCAATCTGGCAACATTGGAGTGGTAACAAAAACATGTAGCTAGCTGCTATGAGTCACGTTATCGCTTGAATTTGAATCGGTATGTTTTGCATCCAGTAAAAGCAAAGATGTTAACAAATAAACTGGACAATATTCTGGCAATTTAGTGATATTTTCACAGTTGTGGTCTTGACTGGTCTTGAAAAAAAATCCCGAGTCCTCAATGTCCGAGACCGTGACAAGACCGAGACCAAATGCGGTCGAGACCGAGACGAGACCGAGACCGTCAAAAAGTGGTCTCGAGACCGGTCTCGAGACCAAGACCGGTCTCGAGTACTACAACACTACTGCTCGCTTCCTCACTATCCATCCTTCGACTCAAACAGTCTTGTACTGCCATCCAGTGGTCGAAAAAATATACTACATGCAAAACAAATTTGACAATAATTGGTAATTATTGTCAGATTTCAAACGATATTATCGTTTTTCACAATAATTTCTGAGACATTTAATCGCCCAGTAAAATTTGTTATTGTGACAGGCCTATTTTTGATGTTTTTCTCCACTTCTGTGAGAGTCATTGTTTGTACAAAAACAAATGAGTGGTACACCGATGTCCCCCGTTGCTGAGGTATGTGAATAATTAATATTTATAGTTTGGGAGATTAGTGTTTTTCTGGACTAGAATTGAACAGAGAATGAAGTAAACCTTAATGTTTTTGTTGCAAGATATTCAAATGGGTAGGAGTTACACTGTGGAGAATAACAGAAGGAGGTGTCATGGGTTTTTTGCAGCGCAGACTGATGAATCACCAGGTGCAGTGGTTTAGCTGGGGGGGGGTTGCAATGGTGGCCTTGACCACCACAGATTAATCTTTGGCCGCCCAAATCATTGGAGGAAACTATACTTTTAAGATATATATAAAAACTAGAAAGCATAGTTTCCTCAAATGATAGGGTAGCCAGTTTACAAAATATTTATATTGTGGTGGCCATCTTGGATTTTACTGTGGCAACTCAATTTTCAATAATGACTTTTTTTTAAAACCTAGCCCTAGATGCAGCCACACACCAAAATGGAAAGTTGGCACATTGCTTATTTTTCAAGTTATCCAGCTCTCAAAGTTTACAAATATACATACAAGGCAGTAGACAGCTTGGATTACAATCTGGAAACCTGATAGAGAGCTTTTATAAGTGTAGATGTAGCCACATACCAAAATGGAGGCCAATACCTCACTTATTTTTCAAGTTATCATGCTTACAAGATGGACGGATAGACGGTATATCCAATTTCCCTGTTCGCTCCGCAACAGGAACAAAAAGTATTTGCCATTTGTTTCTTTCTTTGTTGTACTGTACCATATCAAACCATGACACTGATACCAAGGTAAACACCAAACTTACCTCCAGACCTAGATGTACCGTTACACCCCTAATAAATATTAGCATGGTAAAATCTATTGTGTTTTGATACACTTGAGGTTAAATTTGAATAAACTAGAACTGGGTAAAAAATACAGTATGTCCTGAGATGTAAACTTAAAGAGTACGGAGAATCATGTTTTTGTGGAAGAAGTTGTGTTGTGTGAGGACAAAGTGAAAGAGTTCTGTAAATTAGTGAAGTTCAACAGCTAAATAAAGTTCAATGAAAATGACTGACTCTTGTCTAAATGAGGCATTAGGACAGCATGCTTCCTGAAGTAAGTGGCTTTATCGGCAGAGTTATTTTAATTTTTTGCGGGGGGGGGGGGGGGGGGGGGGGGGCTCAGTATTATCCAACCATTTTGGAGAGTGAACTCACCCTGATGCCAGCAGATCACTCACTGGGTTCCAGGCACAGATAAAGACCTCAGATTCATGACCCCTCAGGACCATAGCCTTGTTTTGAGGAATCTCTACGTCTCCATCCACTTCCATCAAATCTGTGTGGTTATCTAAAGTTGGGGGAAATCAATGATTAAACCTAAATCCAACCAACAAACATAAGCAATAGAATAAAAACATAAATTTGAGCATCTAAATTCATGTAGAGTAGAAGCCATGGTGCCAAACAGGAAACGAAGCTGTTGCAGCAGATCTGTCTTTGTGTCTCTCACTTGCTAAGGCATGAGCTCCATTCTCCTCCCCGTTGGCAGTATTCTCTCCGTTCTTGGGGTTTCCGGCTATGCTGCCTGCCCCCGTTGATGCTGGTGCTGAAGCTGCGGCCTGCTGCTGGGCCATTTTGTCCCGATAAGCCTGCTGCCTTGTCTGAACTACGTCTGGCATCACCGCATCGATGAGGGACAAGGACTCAATTGGCCGTCCATCAAACAATGTGCCGTCCTACAGATGAAGAAAATGATAAATGGTAAATGGACTGCACTTATATAGCGCTTTTCAATCTTATCAAGATACTCAAGTGCTTTACAGCACTATCTGTGTCCTCACTTATCCATTCATACAGCACTCTACTGTTAGTGCTGTATGTAGTGCTGTTCAGGACGTGTGTTTGGTTCAGCTCTTGTGCACAGAATGTGGGTTTTTCTTAACAATCTACCTGTTTGTGTTAGACCAGAGGCCGTCTGCAGCTGTTGTATAGTCTTTACCCTCTATGTCTGTCCTTCTGTGCGACGTGAGGAAAGAGAGGTGGACGGAGGACTGAGACAAATTGGTCACCTAAACATCAAGAACCACTAAGCACAAAGTCTATAGCAGAACAGTGTCTATGATACGGGGGAGCAACGTTAAAGTTTGTTTTATTGATGCATGACTGAGTGGAACCACAAGAAAATGTGACTTCACTTCAGCAAACTCCCTCATAAAAGCAGAAGAGAAGGAAAGAGACATGAATTTAAAAGACTTTGTAGCTTTATAAAATGAAAAAAAAAAAACATTCTGCAGTGAATGAAGATATGGCTGTTTAGGTGAAACGTGGCCAGTAAGTGTTGAAACAAAGATCTGGTGAAAAATCAAAAGTCATCATCAGCAAAAGACAACAGATACCAACATACTGATCATCATCGTCAATGCAGAAACTAATTCCGCTCATTATACATTATTTTCTAATGTGTCTAATGGTGTTGAGGAAAAAAAAACACTTGGCAGGCACAAAAACTGTTACAGTGTTATATTTTACTGATGGGTGGCATTTCTCGAGCATTTACAAAACAGAAAGAAGTACAAATAAATTAAAAAAACCTGAACCAAACCAAAACCCAAACTGAACCGTGGGCTTGGTGAGCCTTTCCACCTCAGTCAAAACTAGCCCATCCTCCCAGCGTTCTAAAGTTGAGACCCACCTCATTGATGCTGACTTCAGCCTCCACATACTGCAGACCCTTCTGAATGATGCTGATGAGGGCAGCAGGGGGAACCAGAGCACCGTTGATGTTGGACTGACTGATGTGGCTCTCTATACCAAAGGTGAAGGCTGAGTGGGAGAACCCTGATGACAAGAACAAATGTGTAACAGCTGTAACTAGTCCTCAGAGACACAGAGCCATCAGTTATAGTTGAAGCTCTGTGAACAAGGCAGCAGGTCCTTCTTTAACTCAGGTTGTCCACTTCTAGCTTCTTCTCACAAACATGTCAGACACACCAACAATTTTCAGTCAGGTCATTTGGACAGTTTTTTTGTTGTTGTGCTGAAACGTTTCACCTTCCATCCAGAAGGCTTCATCAGTCAAGGAAACACACCACACTGTGTATTGTTTACCTTTGTATTGTATACCTGAATTATTGAGCATGGCCTTTGTTGGTTTTGAACCAGTTTAACATGACTGTCGACGAGGAAGAGGGCCGGCACTGGAGGAGGGGGCGTGCCAAAGACACCATCTTAGCACCAACATTACTGGTTTGTTCCACTTTGGAGTAAGCTGTTAGGGGAAGAATCAGTTTTGTGTTGTGTGTTTCCTTGACTGATGAAGCCTTCTGGATGGAAGGCGAAACGTTTCAGCACAAAAAAAGAAACTGTCCAGATGACCTGACTGAAAAATGTTGAACTGTATACCTGGATTATTGAGCATGGAATTTGTTGATATCTGACACACCTTTGCACTGAGACACTAGGTTTGGATGACAAACCTCAATCAGGTTGGAAACAGTAGATGAGAAATATTTAGTAAAGGAATGTGTTGATGTTGTAGCTCACTGTTTGGGGCTAGTCGGAGGTGCAAATTTGTGAGAAAATGCACAAAATTTTCACTTGAAATCACACTGAACTCTGAAAAGTTTGGGCCAAATGTTCTGGGAGTTTGTATATATATTAAAAAACAGCTCTAATGCTCTAGTTATGAAAACTAAACTGACATGGGTTCCAGAGGTCTGCAAAAAAATATCCTGCACCACAAGAGTGAGGCAACCCACATGAGGAAACTGAGACCCATTGTGAACTTTTAGAGACTCCCTCTTGAATCCCGTGTGTAGTTTGTTGCCAACAGTTGCAGTCCAAAGAGATTCTGGCTGAATGTGAGCAGCACAGGAAGTTAAACACCAGTGTTGAAGGAATAAACACCCAGGCTTCATGCATCCAGACTCAATAACACAACAGATTTTAAAAAATGACCAGCCGTACTCAAACTCTAATTCAATGGTCAATTTTTTTAATCGAAGTTTAATTAATTCTTCAAATTCTGACATTTTAACAGCTCATCAAAAATGTAATAAATTTGCAAACCTTTGTTTACGTTTTGTTTTTTGGTATAGTATACTGTAATGTGAACAGTGCTGAGTTCTGAACATAATCCAGAGATTACAGGGATATCTATAGGGGGAAAAAAATCCACTTTCATTTGGCTTGAATAAAACAAACTGGATGAGGAAAAAATGCAATCTTGCAGATTTTAGTTGAAGTCATCATATTGAAGAATTCCAAATTTAGGCTGTCATGATAAACTAAACACAAACCTCTTGGAGCTAAAAAGTAATAAAAGCACAGTGACGGCAAACTTTGAGACTTTAAGGCTGAAAGTTAAAAAGTGATTAAAGGTGAAGCGTGCCATCACAGTTCCCGTACCTGACTCCTGTAGATATCTGTAGACCAGGAAGTTGACCTCATCACTGCTAATGCTCATCTTTAATCTTGTTACACCATGAGGTCAACACACACACACGCCCAGCCTGAAAACAGAGAGGTTCATCATTAATGACAACAAGTTGTTCCCTGCATATCATAAAACATTTAACAAAATGACAGAGCTCTTTGTTTCAGCCCAGTATAGTTATTCTCTTAAACTGCTCATGCTGGTGAAGGAAAAAAGGTCTAAAAAGAACTAGTAATGGTTGTCTAAGGAAGAGAGCAGATTGCATTGAATCTCCACTTCTATGAAACCTCCCATCCTGAGCAGCACACAGGCGACTGTGGAAAGAAACAACACCCTTTTAACAGGAGTCCAGAAGAACCGGGCTCTAGGTGGGATGCACATTAGAAGTAAGATTTAAATTGTCTTCCGAATTTGAGAGGGAGCCAATGGAGGGAAGCTAAAACTGGAGAAATGTGATCTCTCCTACCAACTCTCATTAAAACTCTGGCAGCAGCATTTTGGATCAACTGAAGACTTTTTAAATATGTTTTTGGACATGCAGATAATAAACAATTGCAATAGTCCAGGCTGGACCTGACAAATGCATGGACCAGTTTTTCTGCATCATTTTTGGACAAGATGTTTTCTAATTTTAGTGATAAACATGCAGGTAGAAGAAAGCGGTTCTGGTAACATTTTTAATGTGGGGGTTAAAAGACATCCTGATCAAAAATAACACCAAGGTATGTTATTAGAACTGGAGGCCAAATTAATGCCATCCAGATGAAGTGAAGGCTGCAAAGTTTATTCCTAAGATGCTCAGGTCCAAAACCTACAACCTCAGTTTTGTCTGAGTTTAAAAGCAGAAAATTAACGGTCATCCAGTTTTTATGTCTTTAAGACATGCTTGTAATCTAAGTAACTGATTGGATTCATCAGGTTCTGTGGATAAATATAACTGTGTATCATCAGCATAACAATGAAAATGTACCCCATGCTGTTTAATTACTTTACCTAATGGAAGCATATATGAAGTAAAGAGCATTGGTCCAAGCACTGACACCTGAGGAACTCCATGACTAACTTTGCTATATGAAGAAGATTCATTATTTACATCAAAGTTCATGCTCAATAACCCAGATAAAAATTCCAACAAGTTAAGTCAGGTCTTCTGGATGGTTTCGTTTTGTTGAAATGTTTTGTCTTTCATCCAAAAGACTTCATCAGTCTGAGGAGCCACGATAAACTCACCGTCTTGTCGGATGTAACTGGGACCCTGTGTACACAATTCCGTTCCACCACATGTACCACATGTGGTGCAAATGACAAATACAGAAACTTTGACTTATAAATAGCACACTCACATAGTGGGTCAACCAGTTTGATGGTGCTAAGATGGTTTCTGGAGGTTTCCATGGTGAGGGTCAGAACATAGACTGGCCAGTAAATTAATAGTTTTGCCTATCAGCTCAGCTCTTCAGTCCATATTAACCATTAACCATGGTTCTCTTTATTGGTTGAAAGCAGTGTCAGTCTCATTATTAGCTTAGATGGTTTTAACAAGACCACAACAGAACACATTTTTCCCCTCCTCATTTTAACAGATGACAGAAATCCGTCCTGGCCACATTTAAAATGACGGAAATCCATCGTAGTGACGGAGAACTTTAATCCATGTTGGCTTGAGCTCCTGAATCAAGATCAGATTTCTTCAGTTTCAGATACCTCAAAGCCCTGTGGTACATAACCATTCATTAACAAGATTAAGCAGATCCAAAATGGGGACATTAATCACAGGAAGCACCTGTCTGAACAGTCTGGTTTGGACAGGATCTAGCAGACATGTTGATGGTTTGAACTAAGTACCACACTTCCCAGCCACCCTGAGAAAGTTTACTCCAAGATTCCATACCTGCCTACATTTGCTGATGCCAAAGAGGAACATTTATATGTGGTAGCAAACAGAGCAAAGTGGTCCTAGGAGGGTCCAGGGAAAGTCCCTCACAGAAAACTTAAAAAATCTAGTCAAAACTCTGCATTTTCCAGCTATCTGAAGTAATTTTACTAAATTCTTATGATTAATAAAACATAAAATCTGTATATTAAATATATATAGAAAAGTAGAAAACTGGCTTAAAACTAGCCTTTAAGCTGAACTTTAACTGAGATCATATTTGAAAATTCCAATTATTTTGTTTTGTTTTTTTATACCATGAGCATCACAAGTTTGTTCTGACTGCATCATGTTGTCATGGTGGCCATTTATCAAAAAATGTCCTTTGCACTATATAATGTCATGTAATCTACCTAATCTAATTCTGGGACTGACCCGCCCAAACAGGGATGGTTGGCAGGTATGGGATTTTCAAAGAGAGACTCCAACTGATTGTCAGGAGTATGGTGTGCCAGGGTCCCTTTTAATATATATCCAGTCCCTGCATAACCAAAGTAAGTTTAATAACGTTAAACTTGTGCTTGGTGTAGGTTGGCCTTCACCAGGACTGTCCCATGTCTCAGATACTGTATGGTCTTCATGAGCATGATCGCACGGTGCAGTTATGGAGAGGAGGGTGTCTGGTTTGGGAGCCTCACGGTCCCGTCTCTGCTTTTTGCAGCTGGTGTGATTCTATTGAAGTGTTCAGAGTTTGAGTCCATTCACAGCTGAGTGTGAAGCAGCTGAGAAGAGAGTCAGCTCCTCTAAGTCTGAGTCACAATTCTAAATCAGGAATACAATGCTGTGCTCCCTCTGAGTTTGGTTGAGTCTCTGCATCAAGTGGAGGAGTTGAAGAGGCTCCTAAAAGAAGTACAAGAACTTAGCTGGTTACTGGTTTATCATATCTTCATTGATTATCTGTTGCTTTTCATATAAATTTTAAAATCTAGGTGTTCAATTTTAGGGCTCTGCATGGTCAAGCTCCTGGCATGGTACTACTGACTATTAAAGCCTACATGTTTTGGTCATGGTCTCTTAAATAATATAACCAGAAACCACTAGTAGTTCCTCAGACCCAGTTTAAAACCCATCCTTCCAAGCAGCTGCACCTTGACTGTAGAATAAATTTCCTTGATTTTACATTAACGGCAGGAAATTCTTTGAAAACAGCAGAAGACTTAAGCCAATCATTTAGTTAATTTTGATGACATTTTGTGTTTCATTTGTAATTGTTTTACATTTTTTTTATTTACTATTTTTATTGATTTATTTTGCATTGAAGAGCACTTTTTGGTTTTATTTTGTGAAAGACGCTACATAGATGAACATTACTTACTTAAGGTTTATCATTTTCATTCCCCTATTCTTCTAAATGCTGTGTTTTTATGAACAATAGTAGAAACCCAGCAAGTGACAACACAGGTAAACCATAATGTGCATGAAGCTCTATCCTCCCCACATTAGAGTTATGAGTGACAGATTGCATTGGCAAGGTCCACTCTGGCTCAAAAGGCCCATAAGGGGTCAGAGAGGCAAACGCTCTGTCAGTAACAGATGGTGGTGTGTACGCTCTGCCAACTAGCCTCACTTGAAGGACAGTTTAATTGGCTCTAAATGTCGCAGGTTTTGGTTAAAGAAGGTCACATTAACTTAACAATGCAACATTGTGTTTGTCTATTTGAGGTTTTGTCAACAAAGGCTTTATCTATGCCACACTCGCATCAAGTTCAGACTGGTGACGAACTTGGGCAACAGTTGTTGTATGCTCAGTCTCTCCCATCTCATGACAACATGCAAGGATGGATGAACGGACAGACAGGAGGGTCTTTCCAATTCCCTCTCTTTGCTTCATTACAGGGGACAAAAAAGAGCCTGACTCCTAAAAGCAAGTGGATCATGATCAAGACCATACCATACCCTACCAATTTATTTATAGAGCACTTAAAACAGCAACAAGGCCAACCAAAGTGGACAGGAAAGCATAAAATAAAAACATAGATACAAATAGCAACAGATAATAACTAAATGGCTAACACTGTAGAATACAGACAGGATCAAAACAAATCACACCGTATCAAAGGCAAGGGAATAAAAGTGGGTTTTCAAGCGAGACTTAAAAACAATGAGAGTGGGAGCCCGCCTGATGGAGGTTTTTTCCCCAGGCCGGCCTGTTAGCTTAAGTCGTAGCTTAGCTTCTCAGCTTAGCTGTTTTTAACAATTCAAAAACGCAATTTTGGATGGATAAAACGTATTTTAAAGAAAAGAGAAAAGGAAGGGTCAGTGAAGAGCACTGGAGGTGAGCCTTTAATCATCCATTGTCTTGAGTAGAAAGAGAGAGACATGAAGAAATGATAAAGCCAATAAATGAAAATAAGGTTGATCATTTTCATTTATCATGTGATTAATTGATTAATTGATTTATTGTTTATCGTGACAGGCCTACACTCGTAGACTAACTATTATATAGCAATACAGCAATTTATAGCATTGGCTCGGAGAAGCAAAGACCTTGTATAACCTTTGACCTTCATTTGTGACCTTGACCTTTGAGCTAGGGTGATGAAAAGTGTATGCCACACTACATCTAGTGATGATGCATATGTGTATAAATCTTCATTGAAATGTCATGAGCAGACCAGAAGTTATGGGTGGGAAAAGAGAAAGTTAATTAACCATTAATAACTAATTAGAAATGTCATGGGGGGGGGGGGGGGGGGTTCCGGGTTCGGACCTGTAATTACTGTTAATTCATAGAGTCGGGTGGGGTTCGGAAATGATGATTGCGGGCTGGAGCCAGGTCGGATCTGATTTTTTGGGCCCAAATGCTACTTTAGTTCACACACACACACAAACACACAAACACAAGCTCATTTATATATACAGGGGTCAACAAAAGTGGTTTCTGTTTGTCTTAGAAAATGTATTTTTGCTTTGGACAACCAGATCTTGCCTTGAGGTTGTCTGGTGGACAGCCAAGTGAAATAGCCATGGATTAAAATTCTCCATCTCCACGATGGATTTCTGTCATCTGTAAAAGTGAAAGGAGAGAAAAATGTGTTTTCAACCGTACCGATTTGGGTGGGACACTCTTATTTTGTCCATCCTATCCGTATAAAAAGGGGCGGGACACCCAACTGTCCCATTTGACAAGAGGAGGGACACAG